ATAATTGCTGTACCGGGTTTTTTGTCTGGATTTTGAATTAGAAATGCGAGCCAGTTGAGGATGTATATGGTTAATTGCTTGTCCTCTGCACACCATACCTCATGAACGTGTCGGATGATTGGATTAACTAGTTTTGGTTTTATGCGCTTAGCGGGTTGGGCCCTGAAACCTAGGAAGAGATTGAAGAATTCAGGATTATACTTTGGCGCATTTGGGGGATAAGGCATGAAGTTTACATCTGTATAACAGATCTTTGCAATTGAGGCTTGGAGAAGAAGATCCTTTAATTTGGTGGATGTAGTCGCGTCACTGTCTTCTCCGGTATTTGACCGAATAATTACCTTGTGCTTAGTAGAAATCCCCTTTAGATCTGCGGCTAACTCGAAGTATATGCTTCCATTGTAAGCCTTCTTTTTTCTAATCCACATGCCAGATTTTGTGGTGATGAAAGCCACAGAAGCTGAGATTGCTGAATTGATGCTTTCTTTTGTGTGTGTACCTATACACTTTTTAAGAAGGTCATCGTAGAAGAAACGGTTGTTGGGGTTAAAGATTGCTGGAACTTGAGCGGCCATTTTTTGTTCTATCAAATCGAGTACTAATTTATAGTTACCTAATCTTCAATTGCCGAATATATTTTTTCCAAAGATCTGCACTCCTACCTGGTTACCCTCCTGTAGTCCTGTGGTCCTGCGGTTCTGCGGTCCTCCGGTTATATCTGGTTATCTTTTAGGGGTAAAAAAAAACTATAAACCACGAACCTTTACGACTGCTCTAAATCTTTCCTTCCCCCTTTTCAATCCACGTATATCTAGTGAAATCCACACCGCTCAAGAGCCCACCTTACCATTATTTGCTCTTTTCTAGCGTCCGTTAACTCTTTACAAGCCTTTTGATACTCCTTCCAATTAAGCTCATGAAGTTCACGATTTCCAATACCCTCTTCCTCAAATGATTGACCAAGAGCATCCCCCGCTTTTTCCTTCTTTTCTACTGCCCTGTCGTATGCCTCCTCGGCTTTCTCATATCGCTTCCACAACTCGGCTTTACAACAGTTTTACCAGAGTCTGTTTATCTTGAGTTGCTTTCCTAATTCTTTGGCCGGAAGGTTTCTGACTATTTTTGCTACTATATCCGGGTCGTTGAGGGGCGATGCCCGCATTTGGATCCATTTACGGATTCCATAGATGTCTACAAGATCAAGTCCGAGGTCTTCGGCAAGATAAGTGGCTGCGTGTAAGTTCATCATTGTATATTACTTATGGTATACCCATTGTTCAATTACTTATTTTTTCTGACGGGGAAAGTGGTTATAGTTCGGCGGTCATAGTTCGGTGGTCATAGTTCGGTGGTCATAGTTCGGTGGTCATAGTTCGGCGGTCATAGTTCGGTGGCATAGTTCGGTGTCTCAGGTAAGTAGATAAAGGGTGGTCATAGCTTAAATCGGGTTTTGGAGCCTGAGGGGCTAACTAAGGTGGCCATAGTATTATCATAAGTTTTTCGAACTGTGGCCAGTACTATGATCGGATATTCTGTCTGATTTTGGCTTTATTCGTGTTTTTATCCACTTTTTAGTAGTCTGGTCATAGTGGTCATAGTGGTCATAGTAGTTTTATATATAAGAAAAAATGGATAAAAAAAAAGGAGTTGGAAAGTAGTGTGACCAGCCATGGCCACTGTGGCCATGTTAGTAGTATATATGGGGGATTCCTGATCCCCCGTAGGGGCGATATAGGTGGAGCGATAGCGAGATATAGGTACTGCGAGGCCCTGGCCGAGGTGGGTGGAGCGGTAGCGAGACACACATCCAGACCGACGACCCGCTCAACGCTACTGGTTTTTATTTTTACCTTCGCAATATATCTACAAGCCGATTAAACATCTACATTACACCCATGGTCTTGATTACCCCGACTATGGCTTTAAGATTCCAATTAATCAGGATATAACCTCCCAGAAGGATATTGTGGTTCACACAGTTGAACAATATAACCCCGTTCCTGCTGGATTTTTCCCCTTGAAATATAAGGACATTATTCCTAAGGAGCCTCTATATACGAGCGCAGGTGACTTTATAATTCCTGGATCTCATCAATGGTTTACGCGAATGTACCAGTTGGATCTTGCACGAAAGGCTGCACAACCTCCAAAATTAACCCTTGAAGACCATCGACAATTACTTCTTCAAGAAGAGGCACGTATTGCGAACCAAATAACGGAAAAAAGAAAAGCGGAATCTCTTTTACATGGCACGACTGTCAAGCATCTCTATCGCCGTGATCGAGCCAAAAAATGGCACACATTAAGAAATGATTATTATCACCAAAATATGTCAAAGTTCGAACAATATTTTGACAAGACAAAAGATAAGATTGTGTCACAAAATGACATTGCCTTTCAACTGCGACTTCACAAAGAGATGACTGATTTTAGTGATGCCTTTATACTTGGCAAGAAGATACGTATCGCTACCCGTACGACAAACGAGGAAAAGTACGTTCCATATAAATATGGAAATGAATTTATCGAGAATCCTTCGTATGAGGATTCCAGGGCCATTACCTCCGATGATACCAAGGAAATCGAAAGACGTCCGCATAAACATCTTACTACCACTTCGACTATTACGTCTGATGATCGATTGAAATGAAGGCGACATACCCCTGCTATCGCTGATGACTCTTCAGAAGCAGGTCCTTCAGGTTCCCATACTAACATTTAATTTTATATTAGTTTAGAGTCAATTATTTTCATTATTACATATAGTTTCTTTTCTTTAGTTTATGTATAGCTATCATGCTTTTAGTTTTTTCTTTTCTTTTTGAAAAACAATATAGAATAGTGTGAATCATTCCAACCATGACAGTATTTACGGTTGGTGGCCTTTTGGCTAAAAGAAAAATACAGATCTTTTTTTATATAGATTGTTATAGTTTTGTTTTACTATTCTGGATGTCCTTTATCCTTACGTTGGTCGTAGCGGTAGGATAAGCTATGGCCCTTTTATATAATTAGAAGTTAGGGTCCTTCCTTGAGCTTTTATTGGTTCCTGGCGGGATGATGACAAGAATTAGGATCGTCTCCAATGGGAGTTTATCCTGCTTATTTGGCTGTCTGGCTTCACATAAAATAAATAAATAAATAAATAAATCACCTAATCATTACTTAGTGAAATGAGTCCGATAAGCCCATATGTTACTTCATACAATATATGACATCAATTATAACATATACACGTTAATTTTCAGTAAGATGTATACAAATTGTATATAGACATCATGATCATTTCTTATATTTTAATAGTTTTGTTTGTTTTATTCATGCTTTTATTCATTTATTTATTCATTTGTTTATTGTTTGCTCATTTATTTATTTATTTATTTATTCATTAATTTGTTTTGTTTATTATTAAAATTTTTTTAATTTTTTACACGTAAAAAAAATAGTATTAAGAATACTAATTAAAAAAATAAATATTGAAAAAATAAAGTATCGGAAAAATTAAAAATCACATGATATGAGGTGGGTCAGGGTCGCCAAATAATAATAGCCTTATACTTATTATTTTGATAATTTATATCTCATAATTGGAAAAGTTATAAAAAGATTTATTTAAATTACAAACTAAGAAACTTGTAAAATATTTACTACTCTAGTCTTAGTGTTTAAATAATTCTAATAAAAAAAGTGAAAAGATAAAAAAAAAAATGGAATTATTTAAATTACAAACTAAGAAACTTGTAAAACAATTTACTACTCTAGCCTTAGTGTTTAAATAAATCTAAAAAGAATAAAATAAAGAACAATTTCTGTTGAAATCAGAAATCGTAATATCACATATCACTTAAAAAAAACTATAATTTTTTTTTAAGAACAAACAATAATTAGTTAATTTTCATCTGTTTTAATATCTAAATAATTAAATATTAAATAAAATTAATTTTACATAAATAATTTGCAAGATTAACTCTTTTATATATCATAGTACTGTACATACCTAATGACCTCAAATCCTTAATTATATAATCACTCAAATCTTCACTTAAAAGCATTTCATTTGCTTTTACACTAGTAGCTTGTGAATCTTCACTTTCAAGAATTTCATTCAACTTTTTACTAGTATTCTCATCTGTTTTAATAATTAAATAAATTAATTAATTTCATATAAATAATTTGCAAGATTAATTTTTTATATATTATAATACATACCTAATGACCCCAAATCCTTAATTATATAATCATTCAAATCTTCACTTACTAGCATTTCATTTGCATTTACACTAGCTTGTGAATCACTTTCAAGAATTTCATTCAATTTTTTACTAGTATTCTCATCTGTTTTAATAATTAAATGAATTAATTAATTTCATATAAATAATTTGCAAGATTAATTTTTATATATTATAGTATATACCTAATGACCTCAAATCATTAATCACACAATAATTCAAATCTGAATGACTTGCACGATATGCTTGTGAATTTTCACTTTCAAGAATTTCATTCAATTTTTTACTAGTAAAATCAAGTAAGCGACTTGTATAACATGCTTTAGGGTGAGATTTAGTAGCAAGATTGTTATGCCCAATTGGTGCATTTATAAATTCCATAATGTTGCTTTTTAATTCATCACTGAATTTATTACTACCAGGATAGTAAATCCAATTCTCAATAACAACTTTCACTTCTGATGCAGATGGCCTGTTTAATGGATCTTCATTCCAACATTTTTTCATTAAATCTACATAACATTGTGGAGTATTTTCAATAATTTCAGGTCGTTCACCTTTACAAATACCTAAACTAAGTTGAATATC